ACAATCAGGAAGTGAATTTATCATTCACTTATTTTCTGGTCTACAAATCTTAGATTTTGCCAGTTGGTCCTATAATGTCTTTATTGAGGCAAAAATAAATACATATCTTTTCTGGTCCAGTACACAGTCTAGCATCATAAGTTGCATTTATTTGATATATATATATATTTATTTATTTATTGAGACAGGGTCTCTACATAGTTCAGCCTAGTCGTGAACTCATGGCAGTCCTCTTGCCTCAGCTTCCCAAGTACTGGGATTTCAGGCATGTTCCATCATGTCTGGCAAATTCTGATTTTTAAAACTCCTAATTAAGCCGAGTACAGTGGCACATGCCTGTAATCCTAGCACTCAGGGCTGCCAAGGCAGGAGAATGGCAAGTTCAAGCCAACATGGTGAGACACTGTGTCATAAAATGAAAAGACAGCAATAGTGGCGGAAACCTGTAATCCTAGCACTCTGGGAGGCTGGGACAGGAAGATTGAGAGTTCAAAACTAATTTAGCAATTTAGTGAACTCTGTCTCAAAATAAAAAATGGCTGGGGATGTAGATCAGTGCAAAGATCCTAGGTTCAATCCCCGGTACCACCAACACCAAAAGGCTGAGGAGGTATCTTAGTGGTAGTGTCCTGGGGTCAGTCCCCCATTACCAAAACAAAAAACATAACAAAAACTTAACTGTGAAATACACAAGCAATGTTTTAAGTGTGGTGCTTCAAGTCTTATAACCTATCTGTGTTCTCTGAGTCTTCGTTTATTGAACATGTTAGCATTGCAGAAAGAACAGGTTGGAGGCTGGGTTGGTGTTTCCCCCAAAATAAGACCCAGCTGGAAAATAATCAGCCTTGAAAACTAGAGATCAAAAATGCCAGCCCCAGTCAGCCTATCCTTGCCTTACCTGCCCTACAGAGTAACCACTGAGCAAGAGAACAGTGAGACTGTTTACTGAGTCTAACATGCTGTTCCCTCCCCGGCCTGGAACAACCTTTTTCCCTTGCTAGGTTGGAGCTCCAGTTCTCACCTCTCCTAGGAAGCTGTCCTTGCCCCTTTTCAAGGTAGGAGTGAGAGCACTTCCCTAGTTGGAGTTCTCCTTCTCTATGTGTAGATAGAAAACTGTGTCATCACAAAGGAGTCTGTATTATATTTATTTATTTATTGGTACCGGGGTTTGATCTTGGGTTCTTTTTTTTTTTTAATTTTTTTAAATTTTTTATTTTTTTGGTATGGGGCATGGAACTCGGGTCCTTGTGCTTGCAAGGCAGGCAGTGGAACCACTGAGCTAAATCCCCGGCCCTTTTTAAAATTTTTGAGACAAAGTCTTACTATGTAGTTAGGGCTGGTCTTGAACTCATTATGTAGCCCAGGCTGGCCTGTAACTCACAGCGATCCTCCTGCCTCAGCCTCCCCAATGCTGGGATAGGGTCGGGGATTTAGCTCAGTGGTTTCGTCACCTGCTGCACAAGTGTAAGGACCCAAGTTCAATCCCCTGTACCAAAAAAAAAAAAAAAAAAGTGGCCAAATGCTGGGATAATAGGCATGCACCACCATGGCTAGCTATAATTTTCTATTTTTGTAATCATCTCTTCTATGAATTTGTGAGATCCTTAACACGTTTTCATTCATTAAAGCTGAGCTCTCCTAACACCATTGTTTCTAGTTCAATAAAGTCATACAATTGTAAAAAAAAAAAAAAGGTCATACTATTATAAAACTCAGGTCTTGAAATCAGTGTTCTATTTTTGTAGATAAGACTCACAATTTCTGTGATAATGTGATTATTTTACATATTAAACCAGTGGCTTACAGATGCATATTAAAGGGGTGGGTGTAGCTCAGTGTTTGAGCACTTGCCTAGTTTGTGAAAGGCCTTTGGTTCTATGTAAGCATTGCAAAACAAACAAACAAAAAAACCCAAAACCCCCCAAATTAAAATCACCCAAGCTATTTCTATTGCAAGATAGATATACTCTTTTCTTCTTAGCCTCTGGGCTTTTACAGTCAAGGCTTAATCTGACCCAGATAACCTTGGCTAGTTTGGGAGGACAAGACATGTGACCTCTTATCTCTCTGGGAACTGTTGTGGGAGGGCAGGGAAGTTTTATTTTAGAGGCCATTGCTCATGTAGCCTCTGCTACTCCTGTATATCCAGACCCAGGTCTATTTTCTAGTCTGATGTTAGAAGTGCTCTTTCTTTTTATTTATTTATATTTTTATTTTTTGGTATTGGGGATTGAACTCGGGACCTTGTGCTTGCAGGGCAGACGCCAGAACTACTGAGCTAAATCCCCGGCCCCTAGAAGTGCTCTTTCACTTTCTTCACTGATCGCATCCCCCACACTAATGTCCTCTCTTACCCAAACAGAATGGCTTGTACATAATACTGACACCAACTGATGGACATAATTTATTATTATTATTATTTTTTTGGTACCGGGGATTGAACTCTGGTCCTTGTGCTTGCATGGCAGGCGGCGAAACCACTGAGCTAAATCCCCAGCCCTGATGGACATAATTTGATAACTGACATTAAATGAAAAGACCCAAGGGCTGGGGATTTAGCTCAGTGGTTCCGCTGCCTGCCTCGAAAGTGCAAGGTCCTGAGTTCAATCCCCAGTACCAAAAAAAAGAAAAGACTCATATTACATTTATGGGGCACATAGTGTGCTAGGAGTGCTCTATATTTTATTTTAAAAATTTTTTATTTTTTTGGTACTAGGGATCAAATTCAGGACCTTGTGCTTGTGAGGCAGGCATGGTGCCACTAAGCTAAATCCCGGCCTGTATTTTATACACATCTTTTTTCCCCCATGGTGCTAGAGATCGGAGCCAGGGTCTTGCCCATGGTAGGCAAGTGCTCTATCCTTGAGCTATACCCCCAGCCTATGTATATCATTTAATTCTAATTCCTAGTAGAGTCACTATTTGAACCTACATAATAGCTTTGCTGCTTATGAAACTTATTTAGTCTGTTGGAACTTTAATGTCTTCTTGTATAAAATCAGGGTATCAAGTATCGCTCTGAAGAAATTATGAATATCTTTACTTGATTATTATTATTTTTGGGGGGGGAACCGGGGATCGAACTCAGGTCCTTGTGCTTGCACTGTAGGCGGCAAAACCACTGAGCTAAATCCCCGGCCCTTTACTTAATTATTGATGGTTTGTATCAATTCACTATGTTGCTAGTATTACTACTGTTGCTATAATCACTTGGTTACAGAGATCTTTGCTATTGCTTTTTGCTTGCCCTTTCCTCTCCCAGTCCTTTTGCCAAAGTAACTCCTCACCTTTCAGGATAAGTGTCACCTCTGGGACATCTTCCCACACTGCTGGAAGTGAGGTCATCTCTTGTGATAGGCTCTTGGAGAGCCACAAACCAGAGAAGCTCAGAGTGCACTGGTAGCTGGTATAGTGAGGTGCCTCCCGGTGGGTAACAGACATTTCTGCCCAGCTCCCTCCTCTTTCTCTGAACGCCTCACTGAGCTTCAGTACCTAACCTGGTGCCACGAGGCCTAGAAGACACCTCTAAGACCTTGCTCCATGCAGTGTAGGTGCCCTCACCCTGCCTCATGCCACTCTTGCCTAACATTCAGTCTGATTTGTGATTAAATAGAGATTTGTGTCTGTGTCCTCCTTGCCTTCACCACCAGACTGGAAGTTTAAGAGGTTAGAGATTGTGTCTGGTTTTGTTCACCATCAAATCCTTGCTTGGTTAGGGAAAATAAGTAGTATTTGTTGAATACACGAATAAATGGTATCTAGACAAAAACCAGTCCAAAATCTGGATCAACCTCTGATTCTGAGCAAATCAATTGTTCTCTCTGACCTTCAGTTTTCTTGGCTATAAAGTTTATTCTCTCAGCAAAGCTGTAATGAGAAGCTAGGTGGCCGGGCGTGCTAGCGCACGCCTGTAATCTCAGTACTTAGGACTGAGGTAGGAGGATTGGCATGAGTTTGAGGCCAACCTGGGCTACACAGTTCAAGGCTAGCCTGGACTACATACAGAGATCCTATCTCAAACAAAACAAAACAACCCCCCAAAACAAAAGCTAGGTAGAGGCACTGGGAAAGAGCCCAGGACATGAATAAAAAGGTGCTTGTTTCTGTGTACTTAATGGGAAGACAGTGAAGGAATAAACAAATACGACTACTTCATGTAGTACTACCGACAAAGCGTGTTTCTGAGGTGACTTTTAAATCTCTTTCTAAACCGCATATCAAGTGTCTTTGCCGAATAACCCATTTTTGTGGAAATTCATTATAAACCAATTTCCTTTTCGCTACTGCTACTGAGACGTTATAACTAGAAGGCGAGGCCTTCTAGGCGAATCACACGCTGCCTGAGGCGGGAGCTCATTGGCTGCAGCATACTACGTGCCCAGCCGCCTGGCCAGCCCGCCCCTCGACCCGGCAGTCGATCAACGGCTGGGCCCCGCCCCCCCGCGCCTGGCCCGGACCCTCTCTATAAAAGGAGCCGGTGGGCGTTGACCAGTCTATACGTCTGTGCGTCACGGGGGGGGAGGTGCGTGTGAGGTCATCGCGCGGCTGGGCGGGCGGGGTCTGGCGGTTTGAACGAGACGAAGACGGAACCGGAGCCGGGCGCGGGCTGTGGACGCGGTTCTCTTGAGAGCCGGTGAGCCGGCTAGCGGGTCTGGGGCGACGGCAGTGGGGCGGCCGTGTGAGGCTCGGCAGGGCAGGCGCGGGTACCGAGCAGCACCTTCACAGGCAGTGCGGTTCGGGCCAGGTGGGGGGAAGGGCGGGGCCGTGACCCGGCGCGCGCGGCCTGGCCAGGGGGGCGCGCGCTCCGCTCCGCCTGGGGGTGGGGCCTGGAGCCGGAAGTTGGGGTCCCATAAGCGGCGTGGGGGCTTCTGGGCAGCAGCGGTGGAACTCGCGTTCTGGCTGCGGGAGGTCCCAGGGTAGCTGGACCCAGTAGGGGTGTGTGTGGGCGAGATGGGTTTTGCGGAGAACTCTGGGGACCCACAGTGTAGGAAGCAGTATTGCCTCATGGATAAGATTCAAGTTTTAGATTAAGATCTGAGTTTGATTCCCCGTTAGACGACTTTGGGAGCAGGTGCTTTAACTTCTCTGGGCCTCAGCTTCCGCATCTGTAAAATGGGGACGATAATGCTGAGTACACAAAGGTTTTAGCATGGTTCTTGGGAAAGCTAGCTATTTGGACTTCCTCCTTTCGTCGGTGGATGTCTGGCAGTGAATGCTTGCTAGGAGCTAGACATGGTGCTGAGCGCTGACTATACACCCAGAAGAAGGTAAAGAAATGCTCTTCGTAAGTCTACTTACTTCCTAGAGAGCAAGGGAATAAGATGACTACATGGACAAAATAATGTCTGTAGTTACCAGTAATACAATATAAGTGATATTATCTGTGCTTTCCAGTCCCTGCTTCTCAGTTGCCCTCGGTACTGCAAGGCAGAGCCTGACCTCTGCCTTATTTTGGAGATGAGGGTCCTCAGGGAAGTGAGGCCAGGCCCTGGCATCCACCTCTGTTGGGATGTCTCTAAGAGTAGTAATAAAAGAGAGTTCTTTTGTTAATCGGCACTTGCTCTTTCAGACATTGTGTTAAAAGATCGATGTGTTACAATGTCTTTTAATATTCACAGTCTTTAAGCGATGTTATGTTCATTTCATCTTTTGTGGTGCTCAGGATCTAAACCATGGCTTCATGCCTGCTAGGCAAGGGTACTACTGAGGTACCCCAGCCCATTTTTGTTATACAATTGAGGAGTCCAAGACTTTGAGCAACGAGTTGTTTACCTTATGCTACCCAACAAGTGTCTGAACCCCTATTTGTGAGGCTGGAGTCCAGGCTCCCCTTCTGTCCCCCGCCACTGAAAATTGAACCCACCAGAGCCTTTTCACTGATGCACATCCCCAGCCCTTTTAAAATTCTTTTAAAATTTTGAAATAGGGTCTCACTAAATTGTCCTGTCTGGGTTCTGACTTGCACCAGCCTCCCAGAATATTAAGATTACAGGCATGCACCATCACACCCGGCCAGAGTCTAGGCTCTTAACCTCTATGTTCCGCTTTTCCCTAGAGATCCAGAGTTAGCATATTTCAAACAGACACTCCCTTTGTTGTGTGTCAAAGTGCCTAGCACAGTTTCTGGCAGGTAGGGGCGTGCTATGCTTTTTGATTGATTTTCTTATTTACTCCTAACCGTTACTTGTGTAGAAGACAGCAGTTTACCCATTTTATAGGTGAGCCATTTATGATAAGAAAGATGAAGTGTTTTCTTTTTTTTTTTGGTAGCGGGGATTGAACTCCAGTCCTTGTGCTTGTGCAGCAGGAGGTGAAACCACTGAGCTAAATCCCTGGCCCAAGATGAAGTGTTTTATCCAGCATCACATAGCTCTTTCTTGCTTTTATCTCCTCCTTATAGGGCTTAGGATGGCATCTTGAGAGTAATAGGGTGCTCTTCAGCCAGAGTTCAGTTGAAGTGAGTTAGAGAGCCCACTAGGAGAGCTGCTAAGGAAGAGAGAGATAACTGGGGAGGCAAGAGGAGGCTTTGTCATGGTGGCTGAAACCTGGATCAGTGAGCCCTGGGAGGGTGAGGTTTAGGTTATAGTCTTGGATCTTCCATTGAGACCTAGCAATGGAACTTTTATCAGGAAGGGTGAGTGGTAGCTGTAACTCTTTAAGAATGAGGCTCTGTTTTGACGGCCTGGAAGAGCGAATTAATTGAGTCAGTGGATGTTTATTGTGCATCCACAGGGTACCTAATCCCATATACTGTATTTAGTAGCTCCAGAGTTTGTGGAGCACATGGGACCAGGTATTAACATACTGCTAATGAAAGAGTTTTAAATTATGTGATGATGAAAGGCCATTAATGTTTTCTGAACTGGGGTGTTGTATAACACGTTGCTTTACCAGCTGCTTACATTTTATGATAGCATGACACACACACTATCTGATGCATATATGAATGTCACCAAGGTAGATTACAAGTATTCAGGACTGGGACTGTTTTTTTTTTTTTGTTTGGGTGTTTCTCCTTGATATCTAATAATAGAATTCTGCATACAGAATGTATTTCATCTACTTGTTCATTTAGAAATTTTAAACAGCAGAGACATTTGATCTGGTTTGTGATTCAGAAATTCTGACTGCTATAAGAATATATTGAAGCTGGGCATGGTGGCACATGCTTATAATCCCAGCACCAGGAGGCTGAGGCAGGAGGATTGCCTTGAGTTTGAGGCCAGGCCAGCCTGGGCTACAAAGCGAGACCCTATCTCAAAAACCAAAAAACCCCCAACATCCAGATTGAGACAAGTTGAGGACTTGCAGTGGATCTTGATGAGAGACATGGCCTCAAGCAGTAGAATACATTAGGATGAATGAGATGAGGTCTCTGCCTTAGACCGTATTTAATACTTGTTATATTTGATGTAATCCCAAGTACTTTGTGTACCTTATCATTTAAATCTTTCCGTGATCCTCTTTAGTTAGTCTGTATTAACTTGTAACTGACACTAATTTTAGTAACTTGACTAAGGTCACACAGCTAATGAGGGATGGCCTTACTTTCAAACCCAGGTCTCCCTGGTTTGAAATCCTAGCTCTTTGTACTGAGTGGGTTACCTCATGGTCCAAATCCAGACTGGGAATGGTTCAGAAACGAAGACATAATGCCACTCCAGTGTGATAATTCTGATTGTAGAGGTTTGAATGAAGTGCTCTGGAAATGAATTAATTTCCTAGTGGAATCAGGAGCTAATTTGTTATCTCTTGCACAATAGGGGTTTTTCAGCTGATTTTGGGAGTGCAAGAGTGATGATGGTTTGCTTTCTAAAAAGTTTACATAGGTACTGTTCATGCCCTTTAACACTGTCCTGACAGCCTGAAAACAAGTAGCATTTACTTAATGCTCACTGTATGCTAGGTACTGTCAAGTGCTATGTGGTCTGTAGAGAGGAACAGACCTCTTAAGTCATTTATCCCTACAGACCTTGATCTCCCATCCTCATAAGGAGTTGTTGGATGAGTAGATCTATGTCTGTTCTGGCTCTTGCATTCTGTAACTTATGGCTACAGAGGTTTGCATCAGCTTTGTGTAGGATATGGATGTGTCAAGACCAATTCATACAATAATCACTAGGTAGAGGGAATGAAGCACCACAGAAGAGCAAAGGATGGGGATCTGATGGTTGTTCCAGATTGCTGTGAATACCACCATTCAGCCCTTTGGCATTGTTGACATCCCATGAAATGAAGAAAATTAATGTGTCGAGGGCACTATAAAATCTGTTTTAAAGGCCAGGGATTTAGCTCAGTGGTGCTGTGCCTGCCTCATAAGTGCAAGCTCCTGAGCTTGATCCCCAATACCGCCAAAAAAAAAAAAAAAAAAAAGAAAATCTGCTGTTTTATAGTGTGTCCTCATGGTGCATGCGCAAGGATTTCATTTAGATTTGGATTAGCCTGCCTTTACTGGCTATTGTCTTTCTTCCCTCCTGTCTTTACTGGCAATTAGAATGATCCTTTTCAGACTGTAATGAGAGCAAGACTCTACAATGGATTCTTTTCTCTCTCTCTTTTTTTTTTTTTTTGGTACTGGGGATCGAACTTGGGTCCTTGGCGCTTGTGCAGCAGGTGGCAAAACCACTGAGCTAAATCCCCGGCCATTTTTTTTTTTTTTGAGACAGGGTCTTACTCTGTAGTTCAGGCTAGCCTTGAACTTACCATGTAGCCCATGCTAGCCTGGAACTCATGGTGAACCTCCTGCCTCAGCCTCCTGAGTGCTCTTCTAGTTTAATTTTATGTCAGTCTCATTAAAATGGGGCCTAAATTTAGGCTGATATTAGGCAGTTTATTTGGGTCATCTTTATGAATGGAATTCCAGTGTCTCTGGGAAGAAGGCAAGGCCGAAAAATTATTTCTCACAGATTTGCTCGAGGTGAGTCAAGAAAACTCCACTTCTCACTTATGTGCTCACCATCACACGAGCCTTTCTCTTTTTCCTTGAACGTTGTAGAAGATGGCAGTGAATGTATACTCGACATCAGTCACCAGTGATAATCTAAGTCGACATGACATGCTGGCCTGGATCAATGAGTCTCTGCAGTTGAATCTGACAAAGATCGAGCAGTTGTGCTCAGGTAAGAGAAGGCTGCTAAATCACTTTTCTAGGAAAGTATGAAAATACTTCGAGAATATTCAGGCTTGTTGGAAACAGCCCAAGTGCCCATCAGTTGGAGACTGGATAAAGAAGATGTGGGTTTTTTTTAATAAAATGGAGTACTAC